CTTGTGGGGAGGTGTAAAAATATATGGGAGGGGCAAAATATAGTTGAAGAGCACTGAGGGCATGTCCTTTAAGGAGACACTTGGGAGTTGTGAGGCACAATGAGTCTAGTTGCCCTGATATATGCCTCCATTTTCAGAGGCCTGAGCTGAAAGTAGTATTTTCATCTGGGGCGCCTGGAATTGTTCTTTTTGCCGGCAAACCACCACTAATGCAGCATGATTAATGCTCTGTGCTTGGCAGATATTGTGAGAGAAGTCAGCCTTCCCCTTCTCATATTTCCTTGTCAATCTTCATATCTGATTATTGCCTCTGGAGGCTGTTCACTTTTCATGTCATGCCTCTTCTTTCCTTCATCTTTGCCAGAAATTCTACATGAGAGAAAAGATCCTTGCGCTTATATTGGCTGGTTTTGAAAAGTGTCCAGTTGGCTCCTTGGAAAACGGAAGCTTTTCCATTTGAATGAATGCCTTCATTTGACTTGATCCATCACTTCAAAAATAAAAATAAAAAAATAAAGCATTTAAGAAAACAAAACATTTATGAATGATCCAACATTTCCCAAATGGTTGTGATTGTTGTTCAGATCAATAAAGCTCTGGCACGGCATATGTCAATGCCCTTTCATTAATTCCTAGGAATGATAAGCAACCAGTTCCCTGTTCCAAGTTATTTTGATGATTTCTCTTACCTCATGTCTAGCGTGTTACCCTTCTAACATGTTGCACTTGTTAGAGAGGCAGTGACAAGTTCTGCTTAGTCCTTTTTTTCAGAGCTGCCTTTCCAAAATCCCCATGATTTGGAGGGGAGCTCCAAAAATAAATGAAATTTCTGCGCTAAGACCAGCACAATTCTGCAGCCTGCATACAAATTATTTTGTAAATGCCTTCTCCTTCTGCACCCCTCACACAGCTCTTGTGCAGAGGCATCAATTGCTCCCCCTGCTGCTCAGCCTGTCACTCAAGAACCACGCAAGTCCATGGAAGTTGACATTGAATGGCAGCCCAAAAGCATTCTGTCAGTCAATGCCCTTTTCCGAATTGGTACTCTACCTCTGTTGTGTTAATATTTCGTGCTTTACATGGTGTTATGCCTCCATCCTCCTAGCTTTAGCATGGTGCACAGTGGCTGGACATTATTCCCATTAGCTAGCTTTCTTGCTCTGGAATAAACCCATCATCTCTGCAGATGAATGAGATACCAGAGCATTTGCCATATCAGAATACAGCCCCAGTTAATTGAAATCTATATTGATGAAATGGATCATAATAACACCTTGGTGATATTGGGAGACTGTTATATCCCACTGAAAGATAATACACCTTTTCCTCCTCAGTACATTACAACTCTTTGAGCAGACTATTTCCTTCTTTCTTGCATTCTCATGAAGGCGAATTAGGAATGCAAAAGAAAACCTCCCCGCCCAAAATATCAGACCGCACACCACTACAATTGGTATTGACTTTGGCACAACAACCTCCCTCTAGACCAATTTGAAAATTAAATGTCTCCCTTTTGAAAGATGAGGTCTGTAGGACACAATTGGAAAATGAGATCAGGGAGTTCTTTGAAATTAATTTGCCCTCAATCCTATCTATAGCCATTCTACTGGATACTTTTAAAACATACAGTAGAGGGAGAATAATTGCATACGCAGATTATAAGGAAAAAAGTAGGACCCAACAATTAACAGAACCAGAAGCTCGGGAGAAGGAAGACATAGACGTATGTACAGCTCCACCCCTTCCGAAACTTCTCAGACAAATAAATACACAGACAGAATTATTAAAGAAACTTTCTTTGAAAACAAAACAGTGGCACACACATTTGCATTAAACATAAAACAATCCACTGGGAAGAGAGATAATGAGTGGTTATATTCCTATCAAGATCAATTGCATGCATATGTTCCATTATTTAGAGCTTAATAACAATAAATCATAAACCATCAACAAGGTGTTTTAGGCATTTCTTTTCGGAACTCTACAGGCCCAATACTCAAGTTATACAAGAAGCCATACAGGCTTTCTTGGGAAAGGTTATGTTTATAAGATATACGAACACAAAGGTTTAGAGAAGACTGTAAACGGAATAAGCTAGTTGGGGAGATGCGAGAGGGAGGGAGGGAGGTTGCAGCCCCCAATGTGAGTGATAGCAGGTCAGTGAAAGTGGTTTAACTTCTCCTTCAATGCTGTATCACCAGCACAAATTTTGAGTGCTTTTAAAGTGTTATCATCTTGCTAAGAACATAGGAGGTGATTGTACTTACCAAATTGGGTTTTAATGTTGCAGCACCTTCCTTCTCTGTCTTAAAAAAGAAACAACACACATATGGTTTCCATGGTAATTTTTTCCCCCCAGATGAAGAATGAGAAACATTCTTCCAAAATCATATTGTAGCCAGCTGATTGCAATATGTTAGATTTAATACTGCACATTTAATACTATTTTCCACCTTTAGGAGCAAGAAGAAAGCACCTAGGGAGGGAGGCAGGCTGAAATTATGGGGTCCAGTTGAAAGCTCACAAACTACCGTAGTTGGGGATACTTGTTCAAACTGTTCTATTTACGTGATTCTGTAATATCCCTCTTGCTAATATATTCCAGAAAGAACGACAGGTTTTTTGGTTAGTGATACTGGACCCACAATTTAAAAAGAAAAGAAAGGGAATTTTACCTTAATACAGAAGCTGTTCCAGATTTAGTCTATTTCACAATAATAGCCTATTCAGTACATTTTATGTGGGGACTAGAGGGATAATAGCTTAGGAGCCTCTAAAATAGCAAACGTGTCTATAAAACGAAATTCCACAAATCTTACCATGGCAATTGTGTATCCTAGTTTGTAAATAACAGCACAATCCTATACAGGTCTACTCAAAAGTAGATCTCATTAAATGCAATGTGGTTTACACTCTAGTAAGCATGTGAATTTTCTTTCTGACAAGTCAGAAATACCCATGGAAATTATTAGGGCAGGTATGAATGTTTAATGGCATTCAATTTTTGTGTGCAAAAAGTAACATTCAGGTCCCTCCTCCTAAAAAAAAGAATCCCCAATGACGCTGTTATGCTACCTGTTCACAGTAAAAATTGGCTGTAGCTTCTACATTATTATTTTTATTCCTGGCAGTAGCAATGTTACCTTGCAGCCAAAGAGATTTCACTAGGTTGATGGCATCACTGAGGGGGAAAAGTTGCAGATGATGAACACAGGGTAAAGGTTGGTTCATATGGGGAAGTTACAAGAGCATAGATGACAGGAGTTAGGCTATCCCTGTCTTGATATGGGTGCAGCTGGGCCACCAATTGAAGCTGATAGAAGGTACTCTGCACCACCAATGCCACCTGAGCCTCAAGCGACAGCAGAGGATCCAGAAGCACACCCAAGCTGTGTACCCACTCCTTCAGAGGGAGTGAAATCCCATCACCAGCAAGCAACCTCTCATCCAACTGGTCTAGGTAACCACCCACTAACAGTGCCTTTGTCTTATCTGCATTTAGCTTCACTTTATTGGCTCTCATCCGTTCCATTACTGAGGGAAGACAACTAGGCAACACCTCCACTGCCCAGTGCTATTTTTCCTAGGAAAAGAGGCACCAGAACTCACCATGAATGCCTCCCTTGTTCTCTTATAATGGCAATCGTGCGCATCTGAGAGATGCTGGAAATGAGTTCCAAGAGCTCCAGCTGAACAAAAGCCCTGCCACTGCAACACCTGCAGATGTTAAGGAGAAGTAGAGTTGTGCTTCATCAACATATCTCCGACAGCTCTGAATCACCTCCACTCAGGAGTTTCATGTAGATGTTAAACAGCACAAGAGATAAAACTGAACCCTGAGGAACCCCTCTTCAGTGGCTGAAGAGCACTCCCAAAGCATCACCCTTTGGAAACAACCATTCAATCACGGTGAAAAGTAAAAGGCCTATTGATTTTTAAATCAGAAAATTAAACATTGTTCTTACTGCCTCAATTCTTATGTTAATTAATTAATTAATTAATTAATTAATTTATAAAAAGGCTTTAAGATTTCTGCTGATTATACATATTGTTACTCCAACCTTTTAACGAAAACTTAGGAGACCAAATAGAACTCCTTGCTGCAGGTGTTCAGAAATAGTGCCATCTAATCAGTCATTTAATGTTCTAGGGATGAGGTAGGTGCCAAGAAACAATTTCCCTCACCTCTAAATTTCACCTTATAATTGACATAATTATTTCAAAACCGTATAACTGCAGTGTTTGACAGTAAATTGAACATCATTTCTGATCTGAACTTTGCAGAATAGCATGCAACCTATATGCTGAGTCACATGGCAGAACAGAGTCTCAAACAAAGACGTGCTCTCCCAAGCCCACATTACCAGCATGTTTGCACTTCTGTCTCAGCGACATCTACACTGGCTTGGTCATGCACACAGAATGGAAGATGGCAGGATCTCCAAGGATGTGCTTGACAAGAAGCTGACTTCAGGCACTAGGCTTGTTGGTAGACCAACTCTGTGTTACAAAGGTGTCTGCAAACTTGACATGAAGGCTAGCAACATTAACCCTGCCATATGATTGCAGTGCCTAATGGGAAGCAGTGACCAGAGGAGGAACAACCACTGGGAGGAGTGCAGAGAGAAGCAAAACTAGATGCCGTCATCTGCTCCACCTACCATAAACATGTCTCTCCTGTATCAGTCTCTACAGCTACAACAGGCGCCATAACTCTCCAGCAGTTTGACTTTACTTCCGAAGGCACACTCTTCCATTGTCTCCTGAGACAGATGGATGCCAACAACATGCTGAGTTATGATTGTTGGGTATTTTGCATTGTTCAAGGACCCAAATTTGTTTTGAAGATTATTACTTCAGGACCTAGCCAATAAAGACTTCCCAATATCAAAAATCTTCCAACTGGCTCACAAAGTCAGATTTAGTACTTCAGCCAAGCAAGATATTACATTTCCTCTGGAGTCTGATACAATTATTAGAAACACAGCACAGGATTTAAGTGTGTGTGTGTATGTATGTATGTATATATATATATATATATATATATATATATACACACACAATCAGATGACGTGCTTCTAGTTGTCCAGCTTTTGGAAAATATAGGGACTATACAGAATTCTCTGCAGTATGGTTCACGGTGTAGAGAATTCAGGATGTCAAACTAGACGGTGCTTTGGTCTTCAAGTCTAATTCAGAGAGTTCTAGGAAATTCTTGAATGCTAACATTGACAACAAGACTTTTTGGGTGTTGAAGCTTACCACCATCTCCTCATTTATACTGAGCTTCTAATTTGCACAGTGTTTTACAGACCTCGTTGTTTTTGATTTCACAATAACTCTTTGATTTAGGTCTTCATTATCCCCATTTTGCTGAATAAGGCAATTTACAACTCGCTTAAGGCTAAGCAATCAACCCAGGCCAAGGGTAGTGTCTGAATGCAGCTCTGCAAGTCCACTATCCATAAAGGTAAAGGTAAAGGGACCCCTCACCATTAGGTCCAGTCATGGCCGACTCTAGGGTTGCGGCGCTCATCTCGCTTTATTGGCCGAGGGAGCTGGTGTTCCGCTTCCGGCTCATGTGGCCAGCATGACTAAGCCGCTTCTGGCGAACCAGAGCAGTGCACGGAAACACCGTTTACCTTCCCGCTGGAGCTGTACCTATTTATCTACTTGCACTTTGACGAGCTTTCAAACTGCTAGGTTGGCAGGAGCAGGGACCGAGCAACGGGAGCTCACCCCGTCGCGGGGATTCGAACCACCGACCTTCTGATTGGCAAGTCCTAGGCTTTGTGGTTTAACCCACAGTGCCACCCGCTTCCCCCACTATCCATAGCACCATCCTATTTCTCATATGTGCTCAGGGTGATGATAAACAGTTATTCCTGGTGCTGTGTAGCCTGATTTTGCTCAATCATTCTTGTGTATGCTATGGACAAAAGCAGCAAGTTGTACCTTCTTCAGTTTCCCTCAGCCTGGGGTGGGGAACCTCCTGGTGTTGTTGGGATTCCAGCTCCCATAAACCACTGGCCACACTGGAACTTGATGAGAGTTCAAGCCCCACAACATCTAGAGGGCCTCAGGCTCCCCATCCCTGCTGTAGGCTTAGTATTTGCCATTATGTTTCTTTACAGGTCATTAAAGAGAGTGCCTAAATAGCGTATATCTAGTAGCAGACATGTGACCAGTCATGAACCTCAGGGTGAGCTGATACCTCAATAGTCTTGGCAAAATTAGGTGGATATAGATGGCATACCTACAAATTCTGCTTCTCAGGATTGGCAGGATGATACATACAGTGCATAAAAACATCAAACCTATCTTGCAGTAGCTTGGTTATCAACAGCCCTAATCAGATATTGTCTGCCCATGAGTCTCACCCAAATGTTCGGATGTTAAGTGCACATCAGTTCCTTTTTTAAGATGCCACACAAAATGTGTAGACATTAAGTTCACGAAAATTCAGGCATGGGGACATCAGGTGTGTGACATTACCAGGACTGGTCCTGTTTCCCCCTTCATGCATTTAGCGTACAAGTAAGGCCTTGTCTTGCTCTCAAAGTGAACACAAATGGACTAAAAGTGGGAAGAGGGAAGGGGGTGGCATGTGAAAGCCTTCGCCTACATATGCCCACTCTGCTTCAGAACTTCCCATGTAGAGACAGAATTCTGGACCGTGTTCAGGAGAACATGTTTAGAATTCTCTTCACAGCTGAGAAGGCTGATAAAAAGCACGGGCACACTGGAAGAGGGCCTTGCTCATTCCTGCCCCTCTCCACTTTGGGCCTACATACATTTCAGGTAAACCCTGAATTGGCCTGTGGATATAAACCTCTGAATAGCTTGCCCCCCAATGCAATGCAGCCCAAATCTGGGACACCACCTTCCAGATCTGAAGTCCCGTTCAAGTCCCATGACCCATGCGAGATCATGGACCCATAAAAATGCTTTTTCAGGCACAGCGCCCAAAAATTTGTGTTTTGGGGATGCCATGCAAGATCTCGGTCTAAAATCATGCAAGAGCAAGGTGTCCTAAATGGCTGCCAAGCTATTGTGGGGGGAAATGGAGTGTCGCGGTTTTTCCAGGGCAGTTGATGCATATGGAATAGGTCCTGTGTCATTCTTTAAAGTGGTAAGTGGGTTTTTTACCAACACAATTTGGGTGCATGGTTGTATAAAAGTAAGTCCTATCAAATTCGGGTAAGTAAGTTTAGGATTGCAGCCTTACCTGGGAATAACTTGCATTGAAATCAGTGGGACTTGTTTTTTAGGAAAAATATATAGGTATGCACTACGTTTTAACCATGTGCTTTTCACACTGCAAACTCTTAGTCACATAAATATCCCACAACAGCTGCAATTCTTTGGGAATAGATGTTTGAACACTCACACACACATGCAAATCTATAGCATCTCCATTCTTATTGTTATAAAAAAGACTGTGCATAAATTCATTTCATGAAATGAAATATAGAGAATATGCTGAGAAGAGGATGCACCTTCAGCAAAGAGAACTTTTGTGTATCAGAATGCTCAAAGAAAAACCATAGAGAGATGCTCCATGATTGTTCAAAGAAAAATGATAAACCATAGAGAGCTGCTGCCATACTGGAACAAAGGAGAAGGTTCTATAGAAGACTGATGATGAGGATGAATGACCTATTCTACCTAATGACAGGATATGTCTGTGATGCCTGTTTGAAATGGATACTTTGGTATAAAGAGGGACACAGGGAGACAGAATTAAAGAGGGACAGGGGGAGACAAAATTATTTCATAACCTTTAAAGCAGGCTTTTATACTTTATATATCTCCCAAGAGGCCCATGACTTTCAGTCAAACTTGGAGAATGCTTCCATCTATACCACACAACTTTCTTCAGAGCTTTTTGATTAATTTTTCCCAAGTGAAAGAGGAGAGTCTTTGGTGCTTAAATATCTTTAGGACTGAATGTGAAAAACCTTTAAATAATAGCTGAGTGATCACATTTTCATATGAGGATATTAACATTTCTATCTCACTAAAGTGCAGGCTAAAAAATATTGGTTCAGGATTTAAGTTTTTCTTGTGTTTAATCCCCCATCTATGGAAATTAACCCATAATAAAACAGAAATTTAAGAAGTAAAACATATAAATTTGGATAATAGCAAATTGAAGGTAATTGCAAGGGAGAAAAGACCACTCTTAGCATTTAAAACTAAGTATCACATCATCTTTCAGACATCGTTGACGTTTAAGAGTAAAAGTCAGCATTCTTTGGATAACTTAACAAAGAGATTCAAAACAAAAAAATACATATAATAGAATTAAGAAGACAGTTAGAATTTGGGGCCATCTAATGAAGCTAAAAGTAGAAAGATTCTGGATACATAAAAGACTGTACATCTTCACACAGCACACAGATAAACTTTGGAACTCACTTCCACAAGAGGCAGTGATAGCCACCAATTTGGATGGCTTTAAAAGAGGATTGGACAAATTCATGGAGGGTGAGGCTATCAATGCTTGCTAGCTATGATGGCTATGTTCTGCCTCCACAGTTGGAGCAGTAAAGCCTCTAAATGCTAGATGCTGGAAGCCACAGAAAAAGAGAGTGCTCTTGTGCTCAGGTCCTGCTTGCTGGTTTCCTATGAGCATCTGCTTGGTCACTGTGAGAACAAGATTCTGGACTGGATGGGCCATTGCCCTGATCCAGGAGGTTCTTCTTTGATGTGAGCATTGTCAAGGACTCATCTAATTTTGAAAGTGGATGAAAGAGCTGTAGTAAGTGAATGCAACAGTACTGTGGAGTCTGAAGGAGGGCTGACCTGCCTTCCAGGAGCCGCAGGGGCAGAAGAAAATAGAAATTTTACTTACCACAAATTTCTGTTCTCTAGATCTCTTGTAAGGCAGTCCTACAGTCCTAACGTGTCTGTCCCTGGAGCATTTAGGTGGGAATGCTTTTCCACCCCATCCTCTCAGACCAGAGTGGAAGACCACAAAATTCCTCAAGTGCCATCTGTTAAACAAACAAACAACAAAAAACCCCACCTAGCCACTGAACATAACTGTGCTCACAGACACCAGCTATAATATCATTCCCCCCCAAAATGGATAATTTTTCAGAACAAAAATTGCAAGGTAAGGGAAATTTCTACTTTTTTTATCAAGGTTCTCAGAGGACATGACACCCTTAAACTTGGAGGACATGTCCCTAAACATAGCAATAAAGCAAGGGAGGCCTACTAAGGACCAGCAGCCAATTGAAACAGGACTTGTGCAAGATCTTCCTGGTGAAGGGCTATATCTGCCAAAGCATCAGCATCAGCATCTATCTTCTAATGCTTGGTGAACATATGCATTTGAAACGTGGTTTCATAAGAGCTAGTAGAATCCAACTTAGGTCATAAGGAAGGAGCTCCTAAGGAACTGTTCAGCTCACTGGGCAGGGCCACTTTGGATAAGCAGAGCAGCCCCTCTCCACGGAGAAGCTATGAAGATTGAATCTGCCTACATGCTCCAGTGGGAGGCTGCCTTCTGAAGTTAAGGACTGCCCTACAGTGTGGGGATGTTTAGGGAGGCAGGAGAGGATATATTATTTTATCATATCCTTCCTAACTTGCGTTAGCAAATTGTATAACTTAGCAGAGTTGTTAAACAATCCCCCTTTTAAGTTACACAGCAGTTAGCTAGTTGCAGGCTCGTCTGAGCCTCACTATTTAGGATTCCTGGTAAGATGCCTTTTTATATCCCTCCCAAAAGAATAGACAGGACCATCTGATTAAAGTTAACATAAAACTAGTTTACTTACAAACATCCCGTTCACAATAAGATCCCTGAATTTAATTTACAGAACAACGTATAACTATGTGAACTATCCCATAAGGGAAATAGTCTCAAGTGACTGTGACTCAGCAGGTAGGTAGCCGTGTTGGTCTGCCGTAGACGCAACAAAATAAAAAAATTCCTTCCAGTATAATCTTAGAGACCAACTAAGTTTGTTATTGGTATGAGCTTTTGTGTGCATGCATACAAAAAAGTTGCTCTCTAAGGTGCTAGTGGAAGGCTTTTTATTATTATTCTGTTGCGACTC